AAAAAAAAAAAAAAAAAAAAAAAAAACCCACTTTTCACAAAAAATTCTACATCAAATAAGTCATTAATGTCACTTAAATTGACGCTAATATTGTAGTGCTAGTACTAATATTCTTTACTTAATACAGAAAAACAAAAATATCAATACACAAGACATGGTTAAGAAACACTTATCTTCAAGGGCGAATCTAGCATTGTAGTTCAACTAGGACATAGACCGGTGACCGATGACCGGTGACCGATGACCGTTGACCGAGTTAGGCGTAGTCCACCCGTCCACCAGACCACCACCGTTCACTGAATTTATTTTTCAATTAAAATTGATTTAAAAAAAGTGTACACATGGTTTAATTGAGCCCAACATCTTCTCTATTAATTTTTTTCACTTATTCCTAATTTCCTAAAAACCTAAATTCCCAAATCACAGTTCATAATTCACAAATCAAAATTATAACTCATAGTCTCAGACAATAATACAACATAAATTCTTATTTCTCACAATTCATAAATCACAAATTCACAAAAAAAAAAAAACAGAGATTGAAAGTAGAAACTGAACGGAAACCACTCACCGTTCACCGAGTCAAGCGTCGCGTCCACCGTCCACCGATCTCGTCGATTGGTGGCGTCACGGACAGCAGGTCAGTAGCGGCGCAGCGTATCAGTCGTCTCCCAGACCCCAGTCTCCCTCCTCTCCTCTGCCGGTTTTCAATTTTGGAAATTGGTTGTGGCTAATGGGTTGTGCTTGCCGGTGGAGCGTGGACCAATTACCAATCTAAATTTTTTTCTTTTTTAAGCACGCATTCTCTAAAAAATTATTTTTCCAAGATACATTTTTCTCAAATTGTTATTATGATGGGGGCCAAACAAGGGCCTGCTATGTAGAAACTTTCTTGGATGAGTTAATTAATTTGTCAAGAGACCTAAATACTCGTATACCTTCACATATGTTTTACACCAATACTGTTTGTAAGTTTGTGATTTAGAACCTATTTGACGTAATTTTTTTGAGAATTTATTTTGTGAAATATGATTTTTTTATAGAATGTGTGGTTAAAAGTAGGAAAAAGTTAAAAGAGTTCAAGTACATAATGATTTTATTGAATGTGTTGCTGAAAATGAAAATTCCTGCCAAATGGGAGCTTAGTAAAAAGAGTTTAGCGGGCTGTCTATGCAATTCTTGAGTAGTTTTCAAGTTTGCCAACTTTTTCTTTGATTGTGATGCACACTTATCAACATTCACTTAACGCCGAACGGAATATTGGTTATACGATGTAACTACTCGGTGATGTTGCTAAAATTGATAAAAGTTGAATGGTTCCATGAAATGTGGTGAAATAACTGAGTAATGACTTTTCACGAAAAAACAATTTCGTTGTTGAAAGTGTTTTTTTTTTTTTTGTTGTATTGGATAAAAATAAAATAGTTCCTTGCAAATGAATCGATTTGATTCATTTGTAACGATAGAAAGGAGAAAGAAATGTAGTTTAAATATGTTTTATTAATATTTTAAAGGTAATATAAATATAGAAGAGTAAAATAAAAAATCTCAACGGAAGTTTATGTGATTTTCTAAAACACAGAGGATTTCTCTAATATTGTTGGTTAGTTGAGGAGGAATCAGATACATAAATTTACTCAACCGTGTCGGATTTGCTAGAGAAACTCTCGAGGGCTATTCCTAGAGTTCATATTCTTGGAATTGCTATACCATTTTCACTCCATTTGCTTGGATTGGTTATGGGTTAATTTCAATAACGGTCATTGAAGTTAGTTAATGGCAATTGAAGCAATTTTCTTACTGTAATGGTCACTCAGGTTTCTAATAGTCGTACTAATGATCACTCAACTAGAAACGTTAACCTAAAATTCTACCGTCACTGTAAAATTTCAATGTGTTCACAAATGACGTTAACTAGCACTCCACGTCGGACAAAGTCGTGTTGATTGAAGCTAAAAGCGTAATTATTAAGCATGTTTTCTCTATGTTGTTAGTTGGCAAAGCTTTACATTTTTGTTGGCTTATTTTTTAAGGTCCCCATTGTTGTTTGTTTTTGGTACTAGCTAACACCACTTATATCCATGTGGCATGTTGGGGTTTAGCATGAACATGTGGGATTTTAGGTAATGTTTCGATTCGACTA